AACAAAATACAACAACAACAGCAACAACAAAATACAACAACAACAACAAAATACAACAACAACAAAATACAACAAATACAACAAAATACAACAACAACAACAAAATACAACAACAACAAAATACAACAACAAAATACAACAACAACAAAATACAACAACAACAAAATACAACAACAACAAAATACAACAACAACAAAATACAACAAAATACAACAACAACAACAAAATACAACAACAAAATACAACAACAACAAGATAAACTTGCGAGACTTCTCCAAAATGCACGGCGAAGCATGCGCCCGGCTTTTCACCATGCTTGCATGCATTTGCATCTGCTGATATTTTATTCGTTTTCACATTGGCTATAGGTGTGCTCATAATGTCATGCCGGATGAATAGCTGCCCGTGTCAAGTCAGCTGCGAGGGGGGCGGGGATTGTTTGGACATACTTCACCCTTGTGGTCAGTGCGAGTTCGTTGAACGGGGTTTGGCGGGGGGGTTACAGGGTGGCGGGTCGAGACGGCTTAACACGTAGTCGTAGTCGTCGACTTACGCGACCAAATATTATTCACAATAAAGGTGTTATATTAATGTGTCGTTAACCCACCACCACCAGCTGACAGCCAATTAGTAAGGTTTGCCACGTAAACAAAATGCGCCAATTAGTTACACCGGTGGTGTTGGAGAGTAAACACTTTTAAATGTATGCGATCAAACCCAACAAAAACCCTTGATAATTATGGGCCAGTTCAGATGTCACCCGCCGCTGATGCGAGTCACTGGAATTAAACTCCCCTCGGCACGTCCAAAGCGCAGGGCGCTAATCACTGCGGCACCACAAACACCCTTACAGTAGACACTCAACGCACGTGGCACCAAAACAATTCAATTTCTTACGTCTCGTTCTCATGCAGGCCGGGCACATATTAGGTGACTTTGCACTGTGCAATGCACGCGCTCGTTGGTATGGAGACACGTTGGAAGGGAGCTGTGATGGGGTCGAGTGTGACGGGCTCGAGCTGAGTGTCCTTTTCCGAGCTTTAAAAATCTTCAATGTAAAGCGTCTTACCTGATTCGCCCGAATGTCACACCTGCCTTCTTCCTGACTCGCCAATTTGGCAGCCGCACGACAATAAGACTCGAGCAGCCAGAGTCGAGTGCCAAGACCTCGTGATTGGCTGGATGTACGGAGGAAAACTTTCATTGCAGGTAAAGTAATCGTCAAGAATGTGTTACCAAAGTTGGCTAAGTGACTTGGAGGTCATAGCGTGGTTATGCTCAGGCAGCCACCCATAATTCAATTGGGTTCTCAACGTAGCGAGTTGGTAGTCTCAGCACGATCACCAATGACTGCACAAAAACAGTGGTGTACAATGTGGTTTAACACAATGTGGTATTGCCCTTAATTTGGTTACCTTCCAGCTCTGAGGATTAAATATATTGTTTTGATTGTCATGCGATGCATGGTGTATGGGAAGAACGCATCCTTAATCGCGTACCGAAAATGCCACTTGAAAATGTTTTGGGATAAGTCCTGCAAAAAAATTCCCTTTGGGCCACATTCTCTGCGACATTTCTAAGTCTCCAACAAATACAGTAAACGTGGGAATAAGACAAAACATAATACGGGCCCAAACGTATACTTGCTCAAATATTTCAGCAGCTCAGCAATGAGCATTAATCACACAATGTGTTCCCCTCCCATTATAGAAGCGGACACTTCATTTGTGCACAAGTCAAATAAAATGTACGAAGTGAAACAAAGATTTCTCTTAAAATAGCACCTTCGTGCACAGAGCCTTGTATGTGAATTACTGCGCATCACTCGGAGCTTAGAGGAGCTACCATAAAGCCAGCCGGAGCCATCAGCTTTGAACTCTTGAGATGATTTCTGTCTTCGACGACTTCCGTAGTGCCAAAAAAATACCGAAACTTTCGTGTCCGCGTGTAAGAAGTCACTACGGGCTTAAAAGTCTCCTGCAAAGCTGTGCAAGTGATACGGCACTTACAGTGAGGGAAAAAAGTATTTGATCCCCTGCTGATTTTGTACGTTTGCCCACTGACAAAGAAATTATAAGTCTATAATTTTAATGGTAGGTTTATTTGAACAGTGAGAGACAGAATAACAAAATAATCCAGAAAAACGCATGTCAAAAATGTTATAAATTGATTTACATTTTAATGAGGGAAATAAGTATTTGACCCCCTCTCAATCAGAAAGATTTCTGGCTCCCAAGTGTCTTTTATACAGGTATCGAGCTGAGATTAGGAGCACACTCTTAAAGGGAGTGATCTTAATCTTAGCTTGTTACCTGTATAAAAGACACCTGTCCACAGAAGCAATCAATCAGATTCCAAACTCTCCACCATGGCCAAGACCAAAGAGCTCTCCAAGGATGTCAGGGACAAGATTGTAGACCTACACAGGGCTGGAATGGGCTACAAGACCGTTGCCAAGCAGCTTGGTGAGAAGGTGACAACAGTTTGTGCAATTATTCGCAAATGGAAGAAACACAAAAGAACTGTCAATCTCCGTCGGCCTGGGGCTCCATGCAATATCTCACCTCGTGGAGTTGCAATGATCATGAGAACGGTGATGAATCAGCCCAGAACTACACGGGAGGATCTTGTCAATGATCTCAAGGCAGCTGGGACCATAGTCACCAAGAAAACAATTGGTAACACACTACGCCGTGAATGACTGAAATCCTGCAGCGCCCGCAAGGTCCCCCTGCTCAAGAAAGCACACATACATGCCCGTCTGAAGTTTGCCAATGAACATCTGAATGATTCAGAGGACAACTGGGTGAAAGTGTTGTGGTCAGATGAGACCAAATGGAGTTCTTTGGCATCAACTCAACTCGCCGTGTTTGGAGGAGGAATGCTGCCTATGACCCCAAGAACACCATCCCCACCGTCAAACATGGAGGTGGAAACATTATGCTTTGGGGGTGTTTTTTCTGTTAAGGGGACAGGACAAGTTCACCGCATCAAAGAGACGATGGACGGGGCCATGTACCGTCAAATCTTGGGTGAGAACCTCCTTCCCTCAGCCAGGGCATTGAAAATGGGTCGTGGATGGGTATTCCAGCATAACAATGACCCAAAACACACGGCCAAGGCAACAAAGGAGTGGCTCAAGAAGAAGCACATTAAGGTCCTGGAGTGGCCTAACCAGTCTCCAGACCTTAATCCCATAGAAAATCTATGCAGGGAGCTGAAGGTTCGAGTTGCCAAACGTCAGCCTCGACACCTTAATGACTTGGAGAAGATCTGCAAAGAGGAGTGGGACAAACTCCCTCCTGAGATGTGTGCAAACCTGGTGGCCAACTACAGGAAACGTCTGACCTCTGTGATTGCCAACAAGGGTTTTGCCACCAAGTACTAACTCATGTTTTGCAGAGGGGTCAAATACTTATTTCCCTCATTAAAATTCAAATCCATTTATAACATTTTTGACATGCGTTTTTCTGGATTTTTTTGCTGTCATTCTGTCTCTCACTGTTCAAATAAACCTATCATTAAAATTATAGACTGATCATTTCTTTGTCAGTGGGCAAACGTACCAAATCAGCAGGGGATCAAATACTTTTTTCCCCTCACTGTACACTTGGCAGGCAATGTTTGTTATTGACGGAGCCTGCTGGCACTTTGTTTGGCATCCAGCACGTGTGTCGACTCCTTCATTACGAGCGGTAATCTTCACAAAACGCGGTCACGATACGAAAACACATAGTCCTTCCCCATCAAGGGTGAAGCGTGATAATATCAGTGGAGGGAATGGCAATTAAATAATTGAGAAAATAACTCCGAGGAGGAGGATATATGTTTCAATTGTTACTTTTTTACAATATGAAAATGCCTTGTAAATTACATGAAACTTCGAAGAACGCGCGAGGATTATTTTTGTTATTTTATTTTAGCGAATTCATTCCAATTGTGCTGTATCTATCACGTTTTTAGATGAAGACAAAATACGCGAATTTCTTCTTCATTGACATCATCATACGAAGTTATTGTGTAATTATCTTTAAACGGAAATATTATATCAAATTCTATTGTATCATCACCAAAATCTTTAAACACAATTGTTATCTCATCATAAACTTCATATCATAGCATTATGTAATTATCATCATCATTATCTTCATATGAAATCATTGTGTAATTACCATCAAACGCAAATGTTAATCATCATTAAACACTAACTCGATTTGGTGCTTTCGTGACTGCAGTAATTAATCTTTGGGTTTTTCGGTAAAGTCACGTAGAAATAAGAAAAAATAAAATTACATATTCTAGATTTGAAGCTTTCGTGACTGCAAGGATCCATACTCATTGGTTCTATTCGGTAAAGTCACGTGTCTTTACCGAATAGAACCAAAGAGTATAAAATTACATAATATAAGACGTTTCGATTGCAACACAAGCAATCATCATCAGGTAGAGAAACACATAACCGCAGATATATATACAGACCTTAAGTAGAAGGAATTAACACAGATATACCAGGGGATACAGAGAAACGGAGCATCACACTAATCAAACAGGGTTTAGCAATATTTGGAAACTATGTAAAGCAACACAGACGGCCGGTTAAAACACAATTAACGCATGGTCTGGTTGAAAACACTATTTCAAAGATTGCTAAATTGTAAGTTGAGTGTGAAAATTAAGATAGGTCTCTCTATGGTATGTATTCTATCGCTATCTTAAGTTTCACACTCAACTTACAATTTAACAATCTTTGAAATAGTGTATTCAAACAGACCATGTGTTAATTGTGTTTTAACCGGCCGTCTGTGTTGCTTTACATAGTTTCCAAATATTGCTAAACCCTGTTTGATTTAGTGTGATGCTCCGTCTCTCTGTATCCCCTGGTATATCTGTGTTAATTCCCTCTACTTAAGGTCTGTATATATCTGCGGTTATGTGTTTCCTCTACCTGATGATGATTGCTTGTGTTGCAATCGAAACGTCTTATATTATGTAATTTTATTTTTTCTTATTTCTACGTGACTTTACCGAAAAAACCAAAGATCATTAAACACAATTGTTATATCCTCATTATCATCATCTCCGCCACCACCGCCATCGTCATGAACCCCAACTGTAGCAGCATCGTCACGATGTTTGAACGCAGATTTGGCATTGAGCTGTGCCACGTGGCTTTCCCGTGTGGGGCGGAGCGTCTCCGCCGGTCAGCAGATGCCCACCACCAGGCACGAGCATCACCCAGCTCAGACCTCTCTCTCCCTGCTCCTCCTCCTGCTCCGTGAGGTTGCCAACTCTCACTGAAGCTATCCCGGGAGATTTGTATTATTACATTATATTTCTTAAGGTACGTATCCGATTTAAACCTCCTTGGATTGCTTTCAATCGTCGCGGGGAGATCGATGCCAATTCGGGCAGAGACTCCCGGCCGATCCGGGAGTGTTGGCAACCCGACCCCCGCAACTGCACGCCGGGAATTAACATGCGGCAGAGGACTTCTCACAGCAGCAGCGGAGGCACGCGTGCATAATCACTCACAGTGGAACTCGGGACACATTGACAGAGCGCCATTCTAATGTGTGCAAGCGAGCGATCAAATAGTACACACACACGTATACCTATTTATTACAAAAATAAATGTGAGGGTTTTCTTTATGATACATTTTTTGTAGTCCCGCGATTTTTTTTTACCAGATGGTACCGGTGTATTCGTTACTGGCGATTGATTAACAGCAAATACAGAAGCTGATTCATCACGTGAGTCAGTGCCGAACAAATCCCTGGGCTCGCACTGAAGCAGTTTTGTCTCGAGTGGGGGAGGGGGCCAGTGACTACCACCTTGCAGGTCCACCCCTACACCCTGCCCGATGGGATACACACGCCTGTACGAATGTGTGTTGAACTTATTTCGCACCGTGCGTAGCCAACCGTGGTAATCGCAGGTGCGAGTCGGAGGCTGTTGTTGTTATTGTTGTTGGTGCTGCACAATGAGCGAGAGATTCTTTGTATATCGAGGAACATTCACACAATCACAACTAACGAAGCACAAACAGCAGTTCCAAATAGGTGATTTGTTTTTAAATCTAGATTATTTAAAAGTTAAATCGCTCCGGTGGCTTCATAATATTGGAAGAGCGTTCCAGACGGCCGCAGAAACGCATCCGAAAGCGCGATGGTAGTTAACCGTCTTTGTTCGATGGCTGACCGGAGTTCGCGTGATGGATCGTGCTCCTTGACGAGTTCAGCGAGCTCTTGTGGTTCATGTTGTGGCGAGCACTTTGTGCGTGCACGCAGCCGTCACTCAAGCCGCCCGCTCAGGCCAGCAACACATTTATTGCCCTGCACCAATCATCGGCACCCACGCACTTATTGCTACTCGGGAATTTCCACCAGGTGCTTTTCAGAATGACTGTTCTCTTCATCGACATCATCGTCGTCGTCACCATCGTCATCACTCACCACCTAGCGGTGTCTGCTGCTCTTCCAAGCCACCTGGCCTTCGCGCCACAGATTTTAATTCGCGTTCGCTGCTATGTAGGCATAGGGGTGCCGTAGTGGGAGAGATTCAAGTTGGGGGAACAGGAGGGGGACGGAATCTCAGGATGGGAGTGGCACGGTGGCAAGATGTTCACTACCTCGCCTGGTGTGGAGGAGGTCATAGATCCGATCCTGACCCTGACGCCTGCTGTATATTTGGAGTTTGCGTGTGTCTCTCTCCTTGTGGTCGCATGGATTTTTCTCTAGGTCTTCCGGCTTTTCCTTCCACATTTAGAATCACGCGTTTAGAGTGTTTGGCTGCTACAAATGTCCACGTGATAAGCCACTTCGTTGAGCTATCATTTGTGTCCAGGGCGCTTCTTAAAAAGAGCTACATAGCTCAATGGGCCTTGCCTACTTAAAAAAACTTTAAATGTGTTTAATTCTAGTTTAGTCACCAGGAGAATAATATAATTTAGACCTGCGCACAAAGCATATCTGGTCAGCGATGTGGCAGCCAATTAACTCAACGCTTTCACAGCAGAGGTGGATATTGCTGCCTTATCCCCATTGTATCATTTGCAGGCATTTCATGCTGAAATGTCTTTTGGCCAATGCCCGTCACATTGTATGTATATAACAAAAACAATAGTTATCAGCTAAGGGAGGAAACCAGAGAACCCGGGAACCCAGGAGGACACCCATGCGGAACAACGTGCACGGTGGCGGTGTCCAGACTCCGCACCCACGGAGAGGCGCCGCGTCGGGATTCTATCCCAGGCCATTCTTGTTGTGAAACACAATCGTTACAATTGTTACCGTGCCGCACCATTGCGCACAACCTACCCCGATTGAAAACCTTGTTTGCGTCATGTACGCTGCTACATTTATTTTTCCGATACCAATTTCAGTTTTCCAAAAGCACTCCATCCCGCTCTCGTGCGCCACCTTATATCACGATCTTGATCCCGACCTGCCTTCAATAATTGCCCCAAATATACAGCAATGTGTGTTTCCGGTCGTGTCTCTCCGACTATTAGATTCTTTCGTCCAGCAAAAAAAAAACAGTTGTGCGTGGCTTTACTCGACTCGCATTCATCCCGAGGCCCGACTCGCTGTATCTTCAATCATGTCGCGGAGTTAATTTCCACGCTGTAACGCGACCCCGCGGGTGCAATGGGATTCCCCAATCCCTACGGAAACACTCTCCCGGTATCGGCGCACTCCGCGCCATCGTCGGCGTTGATCTGCCTCCCAGTTCATCGCGCGTTGCTCTCTCCTCCGCGTCGTGAGCCCGAGAAACGCAGCAAAGTCCCCGTGACTAAACGGTCGTCGCTTTTGAATTCCCTTCCCCGTGACGCTCTCGTGCCTCGTCGGTGCGCTCGTCGCAGTCTCCGCACTCACCTGGCCGCTGTCTCGCCGTCGCCGTTCATTGCCACGGGTATTGTGCAGGTCAATCAAAGCGGATCCCTCTGCCATTCCACTGCTGGATGAAGGCCCCCCCCCCTCCCCAAACCAAACCCCCATGCCCAGTCTGTCATAGGATGGTTGTTCGAGCATACTTTGGACATTTGTGACAAAAAGCTTCATAGCTCATCAGGTTCCTCCAGTGTCAATAAATGTTCTGATACTTTTGCCGTGCTGGTAGGTGCGAGTTGATGAAGGCTCAATTTCATCCAGGATCAGTGCAGTTTTTCAGAAATCATTCGCCACTGATGGTATCTCCTCGCTGTAGGACTGCAACACGTTAGGAATTGACTTGGGACCGCCAGTGAATAATCGCATTGCCCAACACAAGAGCGCACTTGCTTTTAATAATGATAAAAAATGTTTTATATTTTTTCATGTAGCCTCTGGGCTAAACAAAACAGTCACTGCATCTCACACCCTTTCTGTGTTTTCCCGCATCAGTATTGTGCCTGACCAAGTGATTTCGCAAACAAAACAGTTGATATTTTAAACCTTCCGAATAACCCCACAAACCCACCCCCTCATTGGAAAACATAACAGCTGTGGTGTTAAAATGAATGGTTACATTTATTTACGTGTAGATATTTTTTTAAATGAGAACAGAACCTTTTGCTTGATTAACGTATCAAAGGAAACGCACATACAGTGAGGGGAAAAAGTATTTGATCCCCTGCTGATTTGGTACGTTTGCCCCGTGACAAAAAAATGATCAGTCTATAATTTTAATGGTAGGTTTATTTGAACAGTGAGAGACAGAATAACGACAACAAAATCCAGAAAAACGCATGTCAAAATGTTATAAATTGATTTGCATTTTAATGAGGGAAATAAGTATTTGACCCCTCTGCAAAACATGACTTAGTACTTGGTGGCAAAACCCTTGTTGGCAATCACAGAGGTCAGACGGTTCTTGTAGTTGGCCACCAGGTTTGCACACATCTCAGGAGGGATTTTGTCCCACTCCTCTTGGCAGATCTTCTCCAAGTCATTAAGGTTTCGAGGCTGACATTTGGCAACTCGAACCTTCAACTCCCTCCACATATTTTCTAAGGGATTAAGGTCTGGAGACTGGCTAGGCCACTCCAGGACCTTAATGTGCTTCTTCTTGAGCCACTCCTTTGTTGCCTTGGCCGTGTGTTTTGGTCATTGTCTTGCTGGAATACCCATCCACGACCCATTTTCAATGCCCTGGCTGAGGGAAGGAGGTTCTCACCCAAGATTTGACGGTACATGGCCCCGTCCATCGTCCCTTTGATGCGGTGAAGTTGTCCTGTCCCCTGAGCAGAATAACACCCCCAAAGCATAATGTTTCCACCTCCATGTTTCACGGTGGGGATGGTGTTCTTGAGGTCATAGGCAGCATTCCTCCTCCTCCAAACACGGCGAGTTGAGTTGATGCCAAAGAGCTCTATTTTGGTCTCATCTGACCACAACACTTTCACCCAGTTGAATCATTCAGATGTTCATTGGCAAACTTCAGACGGGCATGTACAGTAAGACCGTGGCATCCGCCAAATCGATGTGCATCATCTTGTCCTTGTAACCCAACGTCTGCTGAGTGTTCACTTTCTTTCAAGTTGCAGCTCAAAGACTTCCTAAACCATCGTCTTCTCTCAGGTGTTCATGGCCGGCCTCCGCGCGAGCACCATCGATGAGACCCCATCTGCTGCGTAACAAACGCGTACAACTACCACCATCTACGACTAACAGGCGAGGTAGTAGATGTTCACTATCTCGCCTGGTGTACAGGACGTCGTGGGCTCGATCCCGACCCTGACACCTGCTGTGTATTTGGAAATTGCTGCGTGTGTCTCTCTCTCTCCCCGTGGTCGCGTGGATTTCATTCGTGAAAGCCCGGTCGCTGCTGAAAAAGAGCTATACAACTCAATGGCCCTTAACTGGTAAAATAAAATAAAATAGTCAAAGCTGCCTTGCCAATGAATTCGTTGCTCGTCGCAATGCGGTGCCCCAACGTTTGTCGCTTGTTGCGGAACGTTAGCAGCTCCAAGCTCAGCGGCTACACGGATTGATGCCGCACCTCCGACACGCACGGTTGGCTACGTACGGTGCGAACGAGGTTCAACGTACGTACATACATTACCGTGGGTGTTCAACGTAACGTTTCAGCAGCCCTGCTATTGCTTGCTTTGCCACTGCTGGCAGATGTGAGGGAGCTCTCTCTCTCGAGACAGAGCCCCTCTGGGATGGTGAATAAAACCGCGCTCGTCCACGCCGCACAGACTTCTTGGAAAGCGGCGGTCAGCTCCATCGCACGCAAACCCGTCCATCAACTCGACGGAGAACTCATTTCCTAGATTGGAACAAAGTTATTTCTTGAGGACTGCTTTTGGCGTTTAGTTTGTTGACCTTCCCCTGCACCTCCGACGAGCACGGTTGGCTACGTACGGTGTGAAAGAAGTCTGACATACGTGCAACTAACAGGGGGCGGATTTCACCAATATTCGCGTGCCGTCAGCTTCATGGCGAAGGTGAAATGGCTGGCGGAGTTATTCGGAGGAGATCCGTGCCGGCGTCAGGGTACAAATGTTTCCACATTTAGAAGAAGACATAGACGAAGACTTCCGTGAAAATGACTCAATTGGGATTATAGAACTCAAATTGCCTCCTGCTGCTGCTGCACAGGCTTGGCAGGACCCTCAGCGAGTGAGGCTTTCGTGGGTAAACAAAGCACAGTAATAAGATTAATTATTATTAGTAATCAGTGTTTCCGCCGTCTGTTTCATTTCAACGGTGCTCACTTTTAGCGACGGCCCACCGAGCGGTGGGTGGTAGCGAGCCCTGAGGAGCCACGCGTTCATAGTTCATAGTTCATTTATGTTGGTATAGCCCTGTGAGCCATTCGGCTCTTGAATCGGGTGCAACCGCAACAAACAAAAAAACATGAACAAGAAAACATCTTAAAGTGACTTTGTGTGACTGTGCAAACAGAAAATACAGGAAAAAAATATCAAAATATTCCTGAAATAGCACCGCACACCAACGCTGTGTGCAAAAATCCCAGTGGGATGCAAGTCAAAATAACAACAACAACAACAACCACAAGACAACTAAGATTAGGGACATCAGTCTAACTCCGTATGCAATAAACAAAAACGTTACCGTTGTTCAGACGATATTTTATATTTTCACAAGTAACATTGAATTGTGAATGTTATGATCTTACTAATTACACATACACTCATTTTACGAACGTTGTTTTGATGTATCCCCGTGTGTTGCACACACAATACTTTTCCGCTTACATGTTTTTTGCATATTTAGGTATGCTTTGGCTTTTAACGTAAGTTGCGATACACTTTTGCCCTGATTTCGTTCGCCTGAGGGGAATTACAAAAAAAAGTTTCCTCAATAATCAGCGATGGCTTGCGCGATCACAGATTCGGATAACATCTGGCAAAAATTCTCAAGCGTAGCATTGCCGTCATGGCCTCGATCACCCCGATGTGAGCGGATACAATAATTGGCCACTGACGGCTTCTTCTTTGCCTCTCCACTTGGTGACGGAAGGGCGGTGGGGGGGGTCAGTGTCCTGAGAAGCCCAGACTCCACCTGCAGGTGCGCAAAGTCCTTCATGCGCTTCAATGTCAAGACCGAAACGAAACTAAAAAATGGTTCGCGTCCTCTGACCGTGCAGGAGGCGTGGTGCTCACCGGGTTTTGTCTCGCTGCGCATTAACAACGGTCGTTACGGGGAAGTGTGTCGCGTTTAAGATGAGCGTGTTGTCATACATTGCCCGCAGCGCCGTTTACACTGTTTACATAGCTGCGTGTGTGATTGGACAACGTAATGACCTATTGTTCCCACGATATATGTAGAGACGGAAACTGAAGATTCGTGGAGGAATTTTTCGTAGATGTTTTGATTTATTTAATAGCAAACAATAAGTGGCAGTAATCAGGCCTTCTCTCCAAATTGTCACACTTGAAGAGGTAATCTCTCTGCCTTTCACTTAGAAATAATTGTTACCTCCTGGACCAGAAGATTTAACTGCACGTCATCAAAGCAGCAGGACCAAATCGTAAAAAAAACAATTAGCTGACCTTTCGTGCATCATGCTGTTGTTATTGCCGATTATATATACATTCTAAGCTGGAAATCCTGCATGTTGACAACCATGTGCCATGATATGCACGCTGTCGTGTTACATTCATTGGATGGGATTTGTGGTGGTGGCAGCAGCTGGTGACGCCGCTATTTACGGGCCAGTCTGTTGCTGGCAGGTTAGCATTGAACGGGATGACACGACAACACATTACGATTAAAGCAAGTAGACCATGCTGCCAAGTTAGAACGGTCCAAATAAATTTCGTGTTTGTTGACGTCACGGCAAGGCCAACTTTGAAAGCAACGAGGAACGGATGGAATCGTAAATTGTGTTTTAAAAAAAAAGGAGCATACACCAATGCAGCGGTGCATAATGGGAAGTGCAACACGCAACAGGTTCCGATGTTCATTCATCACAGAGCCGTAGTTACATCTCGTTTCTATTGAAGAGAGCTGCTCTAGTTATGAATGGAGCAATGGGATTCCTTTATGTATCTGTCCATCCGCCTCCAATGTCAAGATTTAAATGTGAATTAAAACCGTGTGGGTCCTTCCTTGAGTTTTTATTTTGTCTCTACAATTGCAAATAGCAGCCCGAAGAAAACAACACATCAGCTCTTCCTCCTTCAAATGTCTTACCGTGGAAATGTTTACCACTTACCAAACATCGTAGGCTGCGTTTGATTACGACTTATCAATGCAATTAATTGTAGCAGGGAAGCATCATGTATACGTTTTATAATTTTCTCAGTTCATTGTAATTTTCAATTTGTAACTCGCGCTGTTGTTGACATGATTTATGTTTATTTTTTTCAATGCAAACTTCACAGGCTGAAACATGTTCCCAACCTCTTTCTTGTGAGAGGTTTGAGAAACAGGCCCGACAAATAACGTTTGTACCTTCCATTTGTAAAGATCAAATGCTGCATTCAATTTTTTTTTATATTATGTTTATAGCCCACGAAAGAATTAACAGTCCGTTAATCAATCCAAAAAGTGAATTCATAAACCACTCGGTGCCACGATGCTCATTTAAACTCGACCGATCGCTCTCAATTGCTACTACACAAGACAGGCACATGCGTAATCAGCACGGACACATCTAAGCAACAGAGTATTATGATTCGTATTAACGACACGCATCCACACTCTTGTGTGCGGTCCCTGGGATCCAGGGTCACCACCTCTCATGTACACAACAACCGGGAGATGTCGTGAGGAGAGAAATCATCTCGCGACACTGGAAGAGGTGAGAACTGCATTGTCTTGAGTGGTGTATTATTTATGAAACTGGAGGGGGGGGGGAGAGACTTATAACATCACGGAGTGACTTACAGATATCCCAGGACAGTTGCCGCCTTAACATTCCTTAACAAAATATCCTGAAGCAGAAGATTAGTGCTGGATACAGCAGTCACATTTGCCAATGTGATTTGTAACTTTTATTCTTGCCTGTGTATCCATAGTTAAATGTTAATGTGCCATTTTTATTGCGGAGCGATTACTGTGTGGTGTTGTCTTGGTATGCTTTAGGAATGTTTTGCAGTTTGCTGCCTTGTCCAAGCGTGATACATCAGACTTATATAATTAATGTATTTATTCGTATTTTCTTGAGCGACTTGCTTAACGTTTTCTCTATTTTGGCACTCCTCTCGTTTTGTTGGACATCTGTGAACAAGAGCTTCAGAGCTCATCGGTTTCATTGTCCTGCTGTTTAAATACAAATTCTGATTCTGATCCTGGGGGGGGAAACGAACGGGACAGGTGGCAACCCTAGAGGGTGCTAAACCCGAGTGGCATGCTAGACCCGAGTGGCACACTAGACCCGAGTGGCACGCTAGATCTGAGTGGCACGCTAGACCCGAGTGGCACACTAGACCCGAGTGGCACACTAGATCTGAGTGGCATGCTAGATCTGAGTGGCACGCTAGACCCGAGTGGCACACTAGATCCGAGTGGCACACTAGACCCGAGTGGCATGCTAGACCCGAGTGGCACACTAGACCCGAGTGGCACGCTAGATCTGAGTGGCACGCTAGACCCGAGTGGCACGCTAGACCCGAGTGGCACACTAGATCTGAGTGGCACGCTAGACCCGAGTGGCACGCTAGACCCGAGTGGCACGCTAGACCCGAGTGGCACGCTAGACCCGAGTGGCACACTAGATCTGAGTGGCACGCTAGATCCGAGTGGCACGCTAGACCCGAGTGGCACACTAGATCCGAGTGGCACGCTAGATCCGAGTGGCACGCTAGACCCGAGTGGCACACTAGATCTGAGTGGCACGCTAGATCTGAGTGGCACGCTAGATCCGAGTGGCATGCTAGACCCGAGTGGCACACTAGACCCGAGTGGCACACTAGATCTGAGTGGCACGCTAGATCTGAGTGGCACGCTAGACCCGAGTGGCACACTAGATCCGAGTGGCACACTAGATCTGAGTGGCATGCTAGATCTGAGTGGCACGCTAGACCCGAGTGGCACACTAGATCCGAGTGGCACACTAGACCCGAGTGGCACGCTAGATCTGAGTGGCACGCTAGATCTGAGTGGCACACTAGATCCGAGTGGCACGCTAGACCCGAGTGGCATGCTAGACCCGAGTGGCACGCTAGATCTGAGTGGCATGCTAGATCTGAGTGGCACGCTAGACCCGAGTGGCACGCTAGATCTGAGTGGCACGCTAGATCTGAGTGGCACGCTTGACCCGAGCCGGTGTTAGGGGGCACTACACAACCCAAGTCCTACTGCCAACCCCCCCCCCCCCCCCCCCCATTCGAAAGGAGCTCTAGCCAGGACTGACTTCGCCTAAACACCAACTGTAAGTCAGTGAGTCTCTATACCACCGCTCTCTCTCTCTGCTCTGGAGAAGAGCAATTGCCTGAAATGTCAGGCTATTGGAGACTTTCTGTTATGAAGCAGTATCCATGACGAACGGTGAGGGGATAAAACTTTCTTGTCGTTGGCAGCTAGAGGGTGTAAACATCAGCACTGACAGAGCAAGCCAGCTGGACATGGCATTAGCCACAAACGGCCAAAGCAGAAACAGGTGAGCTCATCTGCAACACTTTCCAAGACAGCCTGACGGATAAAAAAGGATAGTTGGCCTTTGTGTGTATGCATAACAAAATGCGTATGTAACTGCCAATGACTTGCCTTGCACATTGAACAATTGGCATGCAACTGTGTTGTGCATGTAAACTGGGAGCCCAGGACATCTCTCACAACTTGCTCGCATAATAATTTTATACGCCCGTGTAGGTTTCTGCGGCTGCGCTCTGAAGTCCTTAGAAGTGCTTTTTGGTTGTGCCGGATGTTGTTCCTGCTCCCAGCACGTTCAGCGAAACGTCGTACATCATGCCAAACAACACGTGGTTATGCGCATTTTCTGCCCCTTCCATACATGACTGTCGCGGGTAAACGCCTCACCCGTTGCGTCTATGCGAACAGAACTCTGCCTTGCCGTTCTAAGTTTTGGTCAGTGGCAACAACGGAAGGTAACGAGAAAAGGAAGGTTAATTGACAATAATTAGGAATGGCCTCCCGTGTGTAATCACGGGTCTGATGTGAGATCTAAAAAGGGGTCGCATGGCTCATTAGCAGCAGCAGCAGCAGCAGGAGACGGCTGTGCTGGAACGTTCCGACAAATTCCTCGTTAGAAAAAGGGCTCCTCAAAAAATACAATAAAACACCACTTTTAGTAAGGAATGGGAGCATCAACAGATTGTTTCCCCCCCCCACGCTGAATTTACATCATTAATTAGTTTCCTCTGTGTGTGTGTTGACTCTAAGTGGATGATTTACCATGCATGAACCAGGTGCATGCTGGGAGTTGGCGCAAGACCTTTGTTTGCACTTGCGTGGCATTTCGCCTCGCCGTGAATCTCAACCCACACAAATCTCTCCACTACGAACAGAATCACCCACCGATTAGACGATTTCAAATAAATAATGGTGATTAACTTCTTTGTGTTGTTAAAAATATATTTATTTATTGTTTGACAGCACATTAGCTTACTTGGCTCAGGTGAGCTGCAGGGCTCACATTTAGAAGATTGTGTCGTCATCCCCATCATGATCATCATCATCACCAGGCATGCTACAATTAAATAATGGATTTTTACACTGGCAATCCCTGCATATAATTGTACGTGAAATTGAGTGATATATCTGTAATTTATGAAAATTATTTGCAAATTATGCGATGGTTTTACTTTAAGGATAGTGGGTTAGGCAAAACTATAAAAACGAAAGAGAGTAAATGAGAAACGACACGAACGAAATGGTAAAAATTAGACTTTCGAACATTTAATTGTGAAACAAATTGTAACTATTCATAGACTCATTCAAGTTGAAGTGAACGATTTCCTGTCCAAATTAGCATTGAGTCGGTGCTCATTTCCTGTCTACGGCTGTTTGCGGCCCTGAGCTAGTGGTGTAAACTCCACATTCCTATGGCGAGGGTAAACAACCATTATTGACTTCCCCACAAATTGGTACTCTTTTATCGTCCCTAGACGGTTGACGGACTGAGTCACTAATCAACCAGGATTGCGAGCTGCTCACTCTTCCGCTGAGCCACCTGGCCAGTTAAAAAATATATATACGTAATCAGGGTCATAAATCATTGTATCGATAAAAAATAATATTAATAATCACCATCATAATCCCAGTGATCACCATCACTGCACGACCCTACTCCCCAGTACAGATACAACTTATTAAATCCAGCAGGATGCGATTGAAGTAGACTCTGAAATTCCATAAGATACATTTTATTTAAGCAAATATGCGTGTCCCAGTGAGATTGCAAATTTAGGGGCATGGCTGCTGGTTGCTCAGGATTGCATCATCAGTATCCACTGCACCAGCCAATCAGCTCCCGGTAAGATATCCCCATGCAACATGGCCCAGAGGTAGTGCGTTCGCCTCTTGTTGCAGAGGTTCACGGTTCAAATCCAGCAGCCGCCCGGATTATTACTGCGGATACAATAAGAATAATCATACTTGTCGTCCTCTTCACAGGGGATGTTAATGATTCCCTGACGTAATTTGGAAGAGTCCATGGTGGCTAGGAGATGTTAACTACCTCGTCTGGTATGCAGGAGTTCGTGGGTTCGATCCTGACTCTAATGCCTCTATATTTAGAGTTTGCATGTTTCTCTGCCCCTTGTCCCGTGGCTTTTTTTTCCAGGAACCTCCAATTTCCCCTCCACATTTAAAATCAAACATGTGTTGTGTGTTTGGCTGCTATAAAATTGCCACGTGATAAGCCACTTCGTTGAGCTACCATTTGTGGCCAGGTCGCTTCTGAAAAAGAGCTGTGTTGCTCAGTGGGCCTTACTTGGTAAAATAGATTCGTTTAAATTTGTTTTTAATCAAATTTGGAAAATTACCCAAATTACTCAATTAGGATTACATAAAGTAACAGTTGATAAAGCAACAATCGATCCCATACTGCAAGAGCTTGGCACGACCCTCCTCAATGATGGTCATGAGACTCATGAGTGAGGCTTTCTTGTGTAAACAAGCACAGCAACAACAACAACAATGTTGAAATGTTCTTAACTCTTTCGGTGAAGTCGCGTTAAAGGGAAACAATAGGTGATGATGACCGGTTGCGTTATGGTCGAAACGTCGCGAGAATTTTTATTGTTTTATATATATATTTTATTATTTTATTGTTTCCCCTTAACGTGACTTTACCGAAAGAGCTAAGAATATGAATTACTGCAGTCACGAAAGCTTTAAATCAAAATGTTGCAATGGTCGTCACGAAATGACTCATGCAACATTTATGCAATTAATTTTGTGTATTCATGAAATCACTGTTATAATTGTTTTTATATTAATAATCATGATACTATTTTAGTTTTGCTCTTAAAATCGACATGAGAGTGGTCTCGATCACCCAGAAGTTCCCTCCTAACTTTGAGAATTTTTGTGTCCTAACTCCCGTTTGGAATATGAATTGTGTCCAGTCTTAGCTTACGACATTCTCAGAATTGCGTTAGGCGTTCTGCACCGCTTGGTGAGAAGTAATCGGTGGCTGTCTTATTGGCAAACTCAACTCTTACTATCATCATCAACAACAACATTATCTCCTCATCTGCATGGGTGGTCGCCTTGAACTCCCATCTACTGCGCGGCCACAAAATGCACAAGGAACATTTTAAACATTTTAAGCGAGACTAAAATGTAAATATATATATATAGCTTGAGACCGAGGCGTTTTAGACGGTAAATCAACATACATAGTCCACATCATCACTTATTAAAGTGTACATTCTAGTTTGTACAACCCATTGGAACACGCCATGCTGTTCCAGTAACCAGATCTTGGAGTGTACCACCCAGGAGAACAACGCTAATTCATCTTGGCGCAAAAACTCCACGTTGCTATTTGCCATGGACGGTGATGGCAGCGATAATTGCGGCATAAAATAAAAACCGCGCCATTATAGCAGAACCAAACTTTCATTGCAGAGTTATATTCCTTCATTAGGCTGCGTTTGTGTTATTATTTTTTGTTGTTAGGATTGTTTAGTTTGGTTTGGCTTGTTATACTCTTGTGATTGCTTGTAAGCTCAATTTACTATTTCAAATTATAGCCATTTGACAGTCCGCTACTGGATGAAGGCCTCTTCATGCAATATTGGTAATGGTGGTTGATTAACCATAATTCACCACACTGCGTCAGTATGGATTGGTGAAAGGGGTGCTCAGGACCGTTTCAAATATAACTTGCTCCCGATATCAGCCGTGGCGGGGAAATGAACTCGGGTCGCCGACTTCCTAACTCAGTGCTCTAACCGCCGCACCACCACTCCGCCCCTATATGTGAGCTCAATAATAATAATGTTTCTGTGGATTCCCATATCATACCCTTCACGGCAGATGACGGAGCCCTCCCGGGGATGAGGTTTTCACGGCGCGTGCTAATCCACAGCCCATCGCACTGCTGGAAACCTCCCTAGCACCACCCTGCCACGTCGCTAGAGCACCACTGTGAATTACAAATGGTAATGCCCTGACGATTTATTTTAGGGGAGGAGGGGCTGGGCTGTTGTCGTTTTTATTTCGCACGCTTTTACCTTGAGGCATCGGTGTGGCGACGATTAAATACATGACCGCTAAGCTTTTCGGTCTAATTCCTAGGCCTGTTCACCCGTTGTGCACGTTCTAACGCGTGAGCACTTACCGTTAGATTGGAGAATATTGACGAAAGGCCTCATTGCTCAAGCACGCTTCGCCCGTCCTTAATTAATCCACCAACCTCGGGTTTGCCCAGCGCTGAGATTAAATTCTGAGCTCGAGCTCACTCAATTCACCCATAGATTATTGACCTAAATGTGTTTTTTCTTCTTCTGGAAACGCCAAAGTAAATTTACATGTAAGTGGAGATATAGAAGGACCCACGAGGGAAGGATACACCTCCATAGTTATCTAGCAGTTGATAGGCAGTGGCGGATGATTGATCATGATTGATGATGGTGGTGGTGACAGGGCCAAATATATGGCAAAGCCAAAATAATGAAGTGGCTTGCACGAGGGGCTTCGTCCTGCAGAGTGCCTTGTCCTTGCCACATGCCCACCGCGTGTCTTACAGAGACAGAGTACACGTGCATCCTCGCCTGCCTATTAGCTTTGTCGCGCAGTTTTATTTTATTGATAATATTCTGTTGAAACTTAAACTCATTATGAGAGTTTACTGAGGGGCCCGAGGCAGTCCGACGACAACGCTGAGAATTCTGGGTTTGGAATCTGGGTTTCAACCGCCTGATATATTACACTGGCTTCTCAAGTGAAGAAAGTGTTATGGTCTCCACCTTGTCACCAAATGACCGGATAAAAAACCAATCACATTAAATTCGGGTTTTCACTTAATTTGGATTATTCCTCCTGTGAGACTTAACATTTTATATTTCGACGTGTGATGACCAGCCTTAGCAAGGCATTAAAAATCGTGTGCGTGTGTGTGTGTCTCGTAAAGATAGCTAAAGAAGTGACTTCAGTAGAAAGTGTATGACAGAATCTTCCAGGGTCATAATCTGGCACAGGGTGATGCACTGCTGTCTGGAGAGTTGACAAGATGTGATGCTGATAGCCCAACTGAAATGCCATGGGAATGTACGGTGATGGGAGGGGGCATCCGATCGTGGTCCACATGTGGAAGGAGGTTCAGTCCAGTTAACGAGGGTGCTGTGTTTTAAAGACCAATAGGGAAGATGCATCGAGTGATCCACCAGGATTAAACAGACTTCCACCAACGCACGATTTGCATCTATTTATATAAAATAGCATCGAAGTAATTTTATGATAATAGATTATTTTAGCCCTCTGTCAATCCACAGCAGTATGAAGGGATACCCACACCATGCTGGTCTATGGGGGTTGTTTGACCACGCTTCACCACGCTGGGCAGGAGAGGGGTTGTTTGTTGATGGTTGAGGGTGGGGGGGGTTAGATTGAACTCTTCACTGATGTTAGCCGTGAGTAGGGATCGAATTCATGTCACCAGGTTTATAACGTAGTGCCCTAACCACTGTGTGACCACTTCACCTCATAACATAGCATGTGGTGCTACACTCCTTTAAAGATGTGAAGTAAATAAACAGCAATGTTTCCGGATAATCATGGGGATTATTTCTAAACAGTGGCCCAGTGCACGTAAAATATAAAAAAAAATCCTGCCAAACATGCAAGACTTTTCTCTAACGTCATCGATACGGTATTCACATCTGTGAATAATCCAAATATATCAATCATATGAAAGACGTAGTCGAAGCAATGGTAGTAATTATACATAATCTTTAATTGGCCCGTAGCGAGTTTGACCTTTAGCCCCTTGTGCACTGAAAGGCTTTGGAGAAAGATGATGATGATGAGCCTTCGCTGACTTTATCTCTTCTCATTCTCTGTCCTCTGCTACTCTCTCTCTGCCCTTAGTTTTGAGAGCTAAGTGTATTTTGTTTGACCAGGTGAGAAACCCAAGAGACCAGAACAGAGTCTCATTTGCGTGAGTGGCCCAGGGCATTTGTCTCCCATTCATGGGGCAATGATTCCTGAGTACAATCCCAATTTATTATTTTGCAGGTGATTTTTTTACTTTTGTCAATTTGGACCCGACTCTTGCTCATGATATCAGTGGAACTTTCACGTCCACTGCGGAGCAGATGGTTCTTCGGTATGTTATCGTTACGACATACGCATCATTAACCAGGGTGGCTGCTGGATTCAAACCATGAACCTCTGCAGCAAGCGGCGAGCGCACTCCGGCTTGGCCATGTCATCGCACTCTCACCACAACTAGGCACCTCTCTAGTGCCGCTCGTCTATACCAGATAATTTGTATCTTGGTGCTGTTGTTATATTTTGCTTGTTGAAAATGTTGGTGAAGTGAAATATGTATTCAATTTAAAATAGTGGCATGCTGAATCAGTCGATCGTTTGGCTTTCTTCACTCTATTCATTACGATCGCCATTGTAAATGGAAGTAAAGCCCCGTGTGTGTGTGTGATTGTTTTGACACGCTGAAACAAGGGAATTTCAGCACAAGAATAACGAATAATCGTCATCAGACACGATCTGCCCACTGCTGGGTGAAGGCCTCACCAAGCCACTATAATGTAATAATCGACTTAGCACCTGCTGATTTAATTGCTCCATCTCCTCTGTGGATGGGCTCTTGAACACATTCCATTCCTTGCCGCCACTCGGTCACTGTTCTTGTCGCTTCTCAACCAAATCCACTCAGTCTATCCCAAAGCTACTCAGTCTATCCCAAGTCTACTCAGTCTATCCCAAGTCTACTCAGTCTATCTCAAGCCCACGCAGTCTATCCCAAGTCTACTCAGTCTATCCCAAGTCCACTCAGTCTATCCCAAGTCTACTCAGTCTATCCCAAGTCTACTCAGTCTATCTAAAGTCTACTCAGTCTATCCCAAGTCTACTCAGTCTATCCCAAGTCTACTCAGTCTATCTCAAGTCTACTCAGTCTATCGCAAGTCTACTCAGTCTATCGCAAGTCTACTCAGTCTATCTCAAGTCTACTCAGTCTATCCCAAGTCTACTCAGTCTATCCCAAGTCTACTCAGTCTATCCCAAGTCTACTCAGTCTATCTCAAGTCTACTCAGTCTATCCCAAGTCTACTCAGTCTATCCCAAGTCTACTCAGTCTATCCCAAGTCTACTCAGTCTATCCCAAGTC